ATAGAAAGTACACAGTACAGAGATGCAGCAAGTACACAATACAGAGAGATGAACCAAGTTACAAGCAAGAGCTTGTCCTAGCCATCATCATTTTCTGGCCAGCAAACTTTTCAGAATTAAATATAATAAGCAAAAGTGCTTAGAGAGAGAAAAAAAAGAGAGGACCTTTTAGTGAAAAGAGTTTGCAGTTTTGGCAAAAGGGCAGGCTGTTTTCAAGACAGTAAAAAGAAAGCAAAAAGATATAAAAAAGAGAGGACTGTATAACAGTCCAGGAGAGGGGGAGAAGACATAGAGCAAAAATCTGCATAAGCCGCAAATCAAGCAAGTCAAAACCTATAAAAACCAAACTCCTCAACCTTCTTTCCATACTGAAAACCTGCAGTAAACACCAAACAGCCTACAAGCTCAACAAGGCCAAACACCAAACAGCTTGCTAGCAACAAACTGCATAACTGCACCAGTAGCAAACCTGCAAGCCTGCAAAACTTGTTAACCAAACCTGCTTTCCATACTGCAAACCTGCAGTAAATATAAACTGCAAACTTGATTGCAAAACTGCAAACTTGCTTGCAGGACTGCAACTTACCACAAGCCTTGTTAAAACCCAAACCTGCTAACTCACAGTAACAAGCCTGAAATACCAACTCCAAAACAAATAACAAACTGCAAACTTGCTTGCAAAACTGCAAACTTGCTTGCAAAACTGCAACTTTCTCAAAAACCCAACCAAAACTATCACTAACAAGTTTCAAACCAACAAAGAACAAGCAACCAAAACAGTTTCAGAAGTATATTCATCATCAACAATATCAACGAAGCAAGCAAGTTCTCAGAACAATATCATCATCAAACAATCAGGGTCAACAAGAAGAAAGAGGAAGAGTTTTTAGAAGCAAAATAACATAGAGTTTCAGAAACACCTTCATCACCAATGAAAAGCAACAACAACAAGCATTATTTCAGAAATACATTCATCATCAAAAAGAGGAAGATTTTCAGAAATAAACATCAAAAGCTTCAGAAACACGTTCATCATCAAACATTTAAAGAATAACAAAGGGCTTCAGAAACACGTTCATCATCAAACATTCAAAGAATAACAAAGGGTTTCAGAAACCAAGTTCATCATTAACCAACGAGAAGAAAGAAAGAAGGTTACCAAGCATCATCTCATCTTCATCCTCCGCCCTCTGGCCACCAAGAGCGCCGCCGGTCCAACCCATTTCCCATCTCCCTCCATTTTTCAGAAAGATCTCTCAAGGTAAGTTTTCTCACCCCCTACACTGCATCTTACACATAAACATGCAAACAGTAAACATACAAGAATCACACGAATGAACAACTGTAAAAAAACCTAAGAATCAAAATAAAATAAAACTGTACCGATCAAACAGATGGCGTGGACCGTCGTGGAGAGGAGAAGGCTAGGGTGGCGCTCTGGCAACCTAAGGGCATAGAGAGAATCAGTGTTTGAGAAAGACGAAGAGAACGAGAGAAGAAGGAGGCGCCGCTGTAACCAAAACTTGCAAACCCTTATCAAAGCCAAACCCTAAAAAAAATTGTCACAACGTTTCGTTCTGGGCCTTCGCCCAACAAGTCCCTAGGCCCAAATGTTTCTGCGCATAACCCCCCCCCCCCCTCTCTTCTTTTCTGACTTAACAATTTATTCTTCTCCATTTTTTTGCTTGGGCCACAAGTCCTAGGCCCATTATCTTTTTCTTTTCAATTTTTAAACTAACACTTCTCTTTATTTTCATTTTTAATAATTTGATTCTTTTTTCTTTTGTTAAAATATAAAACTAAAAATGTATTAAAATTTTGTTTAAATTTTCTTAATATGGTTTTCTTTAGTATTTGTTACATTTAATAAAATACATAAATAATAGAAGCTTTAATTTAAATAATTTTTCTTTCTTTTAAAACTTTTTCTTTCCATAATTAATAAAACACAAAATAATAATAATACTTAAATATTTATTAGGTTAAAAATTTTATTTGTTCATTTGTAAATAAATACATGCATCTCATAGTTCTTTGATTTTCCTTAATTTGTTATAATTTTTTACGTTGAATTGCGACAGTTCGATTTGGTTGTAACATATATTCGGACATTATTATTCTTATGAGACTCATCCCCATTTGTAAATAATTGTACCCCCATCCCCGGATACTCTTTTGTAATAACTTAGACTTTAAATTCCCGCAATTTATTGTTTTCAATATACTGTATAGTAATTAGGGTTTGTATGCGAAGATCTAAAATCAATTGCTAGATAACCTAATACAAGAATAAATGCATGAAAATCAATACACAATTCACACTTGCACCTCTAGGGTAACCTCGCTTGTTTCCTCAGAAAATGCAATCATGTCCCTCGAGTATAAGACACTCTAGCAATTGCCCCTTCGATAAACAAAGATAGTAGTCCCTCGATGACCCTCGATGTTGCCTTCGATAAAACGATCTTGTCCCTTACAAAAATTGCTAGAGCGTCTCACAAGTTGCTTTCAATGATTGTATACGATGACCCGCGCCTGTCCCGTTTAACATCCTAACACAAGGTTGTTCACCAAATACAATGGTGAAATAATACTGTCAAAAGGATTGAAAACATAAGAAAGATCTTTGAGTAAAATAGGGTAGACAACTCTTAGTTACTTGATCAAAAGCTTGCAAAACATCCTTGCCATTTTTCAAACACACCTCACAACACAATTTCAAAACAACTTTCAAAACATTGAAATATCTTTTCAAAAAGACACACACCTTTTGTATATATTCAAACAAGAATTATTACAAAGGTTGCCTAGACAAGGCTTCTTTTTCAAAACATTTTCAAAACCGCACACACCAAGCACCATTTCAAACAATTGAAAAGCAAAGGCAAATGATCTAAAACAAGTAACTAAGAGTCCATGGAAAACCATGGATGAAAAGGGTGCTAGCACCTTCCCTTTTCATAATCTACCCCCCGAACCCAAGAAAACATCTCAAAGGTCTTTCCTGTGCTTTTTGACCTTTCCTTTGGATAAAATAAAAAGTCGGTGGCGACTCTTGCTAAACCGAACAAATGCGAATACAAACGCAAAACCTCAAGTCAGTTCTCCCACCGTATCACAGACAGGTTATACGACTTGTATCTAAATACTCGGGAAATAAAGGGATATACATATAATTAATCTATTTTCATCCAAATTGATTTAGAAAATACGTGATACGAATTGAGTCATGATTCTTTGAAAGAAGGCAAGCATTCCAAAGACAAGCTATACGGCTTGTACTCGAATGCTCCAGGAAAAAAGAGGCATACATCCAGTTAGTCATTTTTCTCCCACCAAAGAATGAACTAAATTCGATCTGTTTATTAAATATTAAACGAAAGATGAGTATTCGAAAGGCAAGTTATACAGCTCGTATCCGATTATTCGGAGAAGAAATAGGCATATGCCCAATTAATCATTTTTCATCCAATATTTGATTTAGAAAAATGAAATGAAATTGACACCCAGTATACTCTAATCGTTCCCGAGATGGAAACCTAACTAATTAATTGATTTGGGAATTTTATTATGCCACATCTAATTGTAACAAGTAAGCTCCGTGATAAAACGAAGATATCAGCCCATATGGCTATGGATGGCTCATCACAAACTCTCCAAAATCCATAGTTAAAATTATAAAAAAAAATAATGCAATATAATTCAATCTAATACATGAATGAGTTTTAAATAACTAAAAATAAAATAAAAAGGAGCAAATAATGCGGGTAGACATGGGGTGTAAATGGAGAAATGAGGGATGTGTTGAGTAATTCTTAGGACCCTAGGATTCAAGCCCAACAACACAATAATAGTAATAAAAAAAAGAAAAAAGAAAGGGAGGTAAAACAACAAAATGGGGATGTTGATTAAGAAAATTGGAGGGTCCAAATTTTCAAGCCCAATAAGCAAACAAAAAAGAAGAGACAAAACCAAAAAATATTTTGGGCTCTCCTAACCGTCTATGAAGATCAGGCGATTTTGGTCTAATCTCATGATACAATTAGGATCCAATAATCTGAGCCACATGATCATGATCAAGTAGTTTTAATCCTATAGATATGATGGGGGTTCCTGTACAAAATTTCCCTCTGGACTTAGATCTAATGTTCCAGACTTTTTCACGTGACCAATCCTTTTTTTAAATTAAAACAAATAGATTAAAAAACAAAAAACAAAAAACAAAAAATGGATCTCTCTCATTATTTTTTTCAGAATCTCTTTTTTTTTTCTTTTCTTCTTCTCTCTTTCTCACGGTCTCACCCCTCATTTCTATAAAAAAAATCTCTCTTTCAAATAAAAAAATACTTCAAAATAAAAATCTATCAAAAGCAAAAAAATAGAAACAACAAGAATGAAAGGGACAAAGAAGGACTAAAGATGGTGGGTTTCTTCTTTTACCGGTGAGGGATGTTGACCGCATGGTGGTGATGGTGTTGTGTGTCATACTCAAAATTTATCATACCCTTTCATTCAAATCTCATGGCTTATGCATCTCGTAATCTTCGTGTACATACCCTTTCATAAGGTCATCTAAAACATCATGAATTCAATAATAACAAGCCTTGGCATTTGAGATCAATCGTCATAAGATTAAAGTTTATCTAGTGCATTAGGGTTTTGTATCTTTTGCAGGGTTATCTTAACTAAAGACTCAAGAATCATGATTAGGGTTTTGTCCTTTATCCTCAAGCTCGTATGAAGAAACTTCAAATGCTTGACAACACACCTTCTAAAGCTCTTCTCCTCAACACTTTGGCTTCATTGTGATGCTCATTATTGCTGCAATACATGTCACCACCTCTTATGCTAATTCATTCAACTAGGGTTTTGATACAAGCTTGAGTCTTGATTCATTCAAAGGCATAATTCAAGGGCAAGGTTTGAGAAAAGGCATTGAGGAATTATTTTAGAGAAGCTTGATTAATTAAATCATAAAGCAAAGTTCTCTTACAAGATCAAGACATCGTGATCTCAAACTTCATGATCTCACTTCATTATCTCATAGATCAAGCATTATTTCAAAATCAGAAGATAAGCTTGGAAATCTAGAAGATAAAGATGTATTGAAGGATGTTTTATTTACATTCACAAAAGTAATTACTAGATTCAATGCCAAGTTCATCAAGGTTTCAAGAGATTTTCAAGGCCTTACAAAATCATTATCATCATTCCAAAGAGCTGCGAAATTTATTAATCAAAAGGAACATGGAAGCCATTTGAAGACAAGTTCATGGGCAAAATTCATTAGTCTCTTTGCTCCCCACTTAATTTTCTTCAAGATCCTTCACCAATCTTCATGTTCCATCCTTCATTAAGCATTAATCTTCAAGCCACAGCCATAACCCAACATCACTTCATTATTGCCTTCAAAGTCTATATCAACCCTGCATCAAGCCAAATAATCGAAACAGTTCACATAAGTTCATGATCAGCACTAACCTACACAAACCATTACATCAATTCAGTTCAGAAAATCAAGTAACATTAAAACTAGCTTTGCACATATTAAAAACCATTCAGGATAAAAAAAAACCATCAGTTTAGAAATTAACAAACCAGTTGGTAATGACACATCAAAATCACAAAAAATACAATTAACACACACACTCAAAAAACTAGTTTGCTACATTCTTCTTTCAACTAGCAACCAACTTGTTACTAACTGTATAAACCAACAAAAACAAACTAAATCAACCAACCTGTAACTGAATAATAACAAAGTCTAACAGCTTCGGATCCAATCATCCATTCACTAACCGAATCGACTCGATCTAACAGCTCTCGATTCCTTCCATAACTGCCTGCAACCTTCACTCCCCTCTATATAACAGATTCACTCTCTCGGTTCTCAGTCTTATCGATTTTTTCTTCACTCGTTCACCATTCATCCTTCACTTCCTCCATCATTCATTCTTCAGCCATTCAACACCAATCACCTTCTCTGAACCTCATCCATCTTCATCATTTTGCAACCTCCAAACCTCACAGAACCCTCTCGTCCTCCCTCTGAATCGTTCACCTTACATGAATCAAGCTCTCAAACTGCCTCAGAAACTCACAGACTCATCAACCTCACTAATTCTTCAACAGCAACACACGTTCGGCTCAAGAACAACAACTCCGCAATTCATTAATGCAGAAAAAAGTGAAACAAAGAAGAAGAATATGAAGTAGACGAAGAGAAGGATATTCAGGAGAAGGAAAAATGTCAGAGTCGGAATCAAATGCATCCGAGGAAGAAGATCGATCCTCAAGGTTGGTTCTTAATCTTTTCACCTCCTTCTTGATACCATTTATTAGAGGATGATTAGTGGTGTAAAAGCCCTAACCTTGTGCAATCTGAAGCTCAGCCATGAGCGTTTAATTTAACTTTGACAAGGCTAGGGTTTTGTGAGTACTTGTAGATTTAGAATGATCCAGACAAAATCAATGAAAAAGAAGCTGAGATATGGACTCAGGGTACAAAACCGAAGGAGATGACATGTTCTTTATGAGGTTTAAAAGGATTTGAAGAGTCACAAATTCCTTCAGCACGACGCCGTTATGTTTATTTCAACATTTGCATTGAATTGTTTTGTTTGTTTTTGTTTCATTAATAAACTGAAGTTGTGAATTGCACGTTGGGCTAAAGAACAACACCGAGCCCAATTGTTTTCTACATGTGTACCCCTCTATCCAGATAACCATTTGTTTTTTTGTTCAGTTTTTGTTTTAGATTTGATTGGGCCACACACCCAGGCCGAATGCATATTGTAGATTCTACTTTACATATGCCGATCCAGTACCCCCATGGTTATCTTGTTTTTTTTCTTCTATTTTTACTTCTTATTTTGATTAGATTTTTACATATAATTCTTGCAATTTTTACATGATTTTGGTATTTTTATTGATGACAAATGTGAACAAAATGTGTATAGTTTGATCATGACCCTAGAACAACCCTTTGATGTTCTTATTTCTTGATTTGTGTTCATAAAATGCCATGGAAATTAATTGATAAATGTGCTTGAATTCCTTTAATTTTCATGTGAATTGTTTAGGTTTTTTAACATTTTCCTTGATTAATTCTTGTCCATAATTTTATACCATCTCATGAATCATTTTATACATTATACTAACTCCTTTGCTTTTGATTGTGAGGTATTACTTTGAGCTCCTTGGACCATACTTTTGAACATTTACCAATTATACCTAATCTTGTATTTTTATCGTTTTAATTTCACTTTAAAGTTTTCATAGAACATTGCAATATTGTAGTAAGTGCTTCATTCCCCCAATGTGGGAAAAGTGTACCCCCTCATTATGAACAATGTAATAGTGTATAATGTGTGCTTGTATGATTGAATGCTTGTATGAGATGTGTTGTACCCCAAAATTTGCCCTTCCATTTCCTCAATATTTTCTCACCACAAGACCCTTAGAGCTCAAGATCAAGTTAGGGTTTGCCATGCTCAAGACTTCTCCTTGCACTGTTGACCCAAATTAGGGTTTGTGTTTACATAAAGATGTTTTGACCTAAAAAGCCTAAGATGACTTTCATGCTTCATGTTGGACTCCCAAGTTTATCCATACCAAGTTTCAAGTCTTGATTCCAAACTTTTCCCAGTCAATTGGACAGTTGACCTAGAAATCAGTTGTATTGGGGAAAAAGTCAACTGTGGTCAATTGACAGTCAAACCTCATGATTTTTGACCCACATCAACATTATGAACTCGTATGGACCATTTGATCAAGTTTGGATCACAATTCCACAAGAAATTTGATCAGATCACCAAAAGGGTAAAATGGTCATTTTTAGGGTTTTGACTGCACAAAAACAATTTTTGACTGTTTGACCTAACCAATGGCAAACCAAGCTCATATATGGACTCAAGGACTCAATCGCATTGTCTTGACACATTCAACAAGTTCAGAAGATCCCAAATGCACAAGATTGACAGATGAATTTTCCAGTCAACTGAGCCAAATTTGACTGTATACTGAAAAGTCAAACTTTGACTTTTTGGTCAAAATCAAATGCCAAGATTCATTTTTCATCAAAACATGTCAAATTATGAAACTTGTTCATCAAGAAATCAAAAGTCACAAATTAGGGTTTGAAATGAAGAATTTTCATAACTTAGAATTTTTCTAAGTTATGAAAATCCCTAATTTTTTCCTAAATTTGTCCCACTTTTTCATCAAGATACATTTGGGTTCAAGGAAAACTCAAAACATGAAAGTTATAGTCCATTGCAAAATCTACAACTTTGATTCACAAAGTTTCCTCAAAAGAAGCTTGTAGCTCAAGTTATGATTTTTGGAACAAGGGTGCAAAACATTCTTAACTTAGAAAAATTTTGACCTATTCTAGGCAGGATTTTTGCCTAACTTCATGGCCACTTTTCACACGCTTCCACTTGGAATTTCAACTTGCATTACAAATATGGATTGTAGTACACATTCCAAGCTTTCCAAAATATCCAAGAACTCATCAAACAACCTTGTGGTTAGGGAGAATCGAATTTGGCAATATAGGCAAAAGTCACTTTGTTCATGAGCCATTTCCATGTTCATAACTTGTGCAATTTTTCAAATCAGCATGAGCAAGCTAGTTACAGGCCTCTAATCTCATTTACACTTATAAATTAAATGCCAATCCATTGAGCCAAGATGTTATCTATGATTTTGGTTATTGTATGGAGAATTAAGCCTTAATTAGAAAAAGCACTTTATCCATTTTTGAAAAGTATGGCTTTATGTCAAGTTTGCAAATCAAGAAGTACAAGGCCATATCTTTGGACACAGGATTCATGGATATAACACACTGATCAAGACTAAAAGATGCATCATACTTGAGGGGCCTAGAGAAGCTTGTAAAACCAACTTGCCATTTCTTGCTTAAGTTAGAAGAAACCTTGCATAACTCACAACAACACACATTTCTGCCAAGAGAAGCTGAGACAAACTTATTGTACACCTTCCAAACATCAAACCTGAGCTAAGGCACGAGCTAACTACCCTCCAAACCTCCCTAAACCTCAAAACACCATCCTACTGCAGAAAACAGAGTCACCTCTGCAGTTGGACTTCCATAACTCAATCCACTCGTGCATTTTTGCTAAAACCAGTTCATACACACTCCATACCACATATACAAGCTATCCCAAGCATTGGACACGACCTGTAACACCTCTAACCAACTTCACCATTTTCACTTTTTCTGTTTTGCAGGTTGATTGCCATAGCTTGATTCACTTGGTTTCAAAGCAAGCTAAAGGTTGGAATAGCATCCCTGGACTTCAAGCAAGTTGTACCAATCCTCACCTTGCCTTGAAAGTGCCTCCATTGCCAGACACGATCCAAGTTGAACAGGTAAGTTCATGGACTTCTATCTCTCAATCTAGGAAGAGTTAGCTTTAAGTTTATGAATGAAAAATGCACTACTCATGGCCCTGAAGCTATACATATCCTCACTTTCCATTTATATTGCATATGCTGAGAGAATTTAAGACCTGAACATTGACAAAAACTTAAGTTAAGAATTAGGGATGGAGAAATTCTCTCTCATTTCTGAGAGTTAGATCAAGTTTTTGGTATGTATGGAATCGTGGCTTGATGCTTGACATTTTTCATGTTATAAGTTTGTGCTAAAAGTCCAGGAATCAGGATGTTTGAACCAGGAGGGAGAGGCGCGCGTTTTTTGACATTTTTGTCTAGAGGTTGAAGACAACCTCTCTTGGGCTGGGCCTGAGACATTTTTCCTTTTTGCACTTTCATTTTTCACATGCACCCCCTGGCCCATTTTGAGATATACTTGTCATTTTATATTTTTTCCTTTTGATTTTGTTTCTATATTTTTATTTAAGCATGAAAAAATATTAAAATTATTTTTCCCACATTTTTTGCAATTTATTTGATATTTATTTGGTTTCATTTAGTTTTTGTACATAAATAATCATAAATATACTTTTACTTAAAATAACTAAAAGTAATACAAATACATTTATTTTCTAATTTTATTTTATTTTATCTTCTAAAAACATTTTATGAAAAATATACTTTTTTTGTAAATATTAAATATTTTATTCTTGTACATATTTAATATATTTAGTAAATATTATAAATACTTATATATTTATTAGTATATTTAGGTTAAAAACACAAAAATAATACATTTTTATTTTTATTAATATTTAACTTTAAAAAATCACTTTTTGACTATATACTTTCTTTTTATTTATTTTTATACATAATTAATAAATATTGCATATATTAAATAATTAATACATTTTATTTAGCAAAATTAGGGTTTTACCCTAAACCTAAAAAATCC